TAGAGCCAGCGCTTGTCTGAAGACAGTTTCCGTTGTCATGTGGCCAGCGTGACTAGGGAACGCTGTTTTACCTTCCTACTGAGGTGGTCCCTATTTATCTACTCGCATTTACATGCTTTCGAACTGCTAGATTGGCAAGGAGCTGGGACAAAGCGATGGGAGCTCACTCCGTTGCGTGGATTCGATCTTATGACTGCTGTTCTTCTGACCCTGCAGCACAGGCTTCTGCGGTGTAGTCTGCAGTGCCACCACGTTACTCTTCTTCAATTGTTTTTTTAAATGTGGGCATGAACTCTTAAAAGCCAGCCGTAATATCTATGTGTACAGCACATCAACATGAGCAGTATCATTGCCTCCCTGAACTCTAAATCCAACAAATGAATTTCTCACTTGCTACTGAATGATATAAAATAAAAATGATATAAAATGATATAAAAAGTGCAATGGCATGGCTGGAACTCCCAGCAACTTTCCTGAAAAATATACAAAGTGTCTTAGGCTGCAATCCTATTTGTTGGAATTTGATGGAAGTAAATCCTATCAAACCCACTGAGTCTTATGTCTGAATTTGCAGTGGAGGTTTATCCATTGTATCAGTGGTTCTCAATCTTGGGTATCCCGGGTGTTCTTGGACTGCAGTTCCCAGAAACCTTCACCATCAACTGTGCTGGCCAGGGCTTCTGGGTATTGTAGTCCAAGAACACCTGGGTTATCGAAGTTTGGAAACCATTGGAGGTGAATGGAACCTATCTCCAGCCAGATACTCCTGCTTGCCTCCCTATGAACTGAAGTGTCTGGGCCCTTCCTGTGCTCCCCTCCTACCGTATTATATGTGAATACAGTACTTCTAAGACAGGGGTGGGCAATTAATTTCTATACATGAAAAATCTAACTGTGTTTGGGCGCCGAACCAGCTTTACTTAAAAATGAAATGAAACAGTGATGGAAGAAAAAAGACCCAACACTGAGCTAACTCACCTGCGTTCCCACGCGGCCTTCCTCTCCAACTGTCTTCTATCCTGTGCAGGCGACGTGATGCATCATCACATCGCCTGTGCAAGACATTGCCTGTGCAAGGATCGCTTCCGGCCTCTTGAGCCACAGGCTCCGCAGCGGCTCAAGAGTAACAGTCAAAACTTGTGAGATCCCAGCATTGGATCTCGCGAGTTTTATTTACTGGCATGCTGGGTGACTGGAGCCAGAGCTCTGGCTCACTCAGTGGCGACGGGCGGGCCAGACAGGAGCGGCTTGCGGGCCGTACGTGGCCCTCGGGCCACACTTTGCCCAGGTCTGCTCTAAGAGCTACCTGTCACTTCTGGTTCCACCCATGTTGAACCTTTCCCCCTGCCAACCAAAATGAGCACCAGCCACCACTGCTCACAAGACTTCACTAATGTCTCACTTTGCCATTTCCGGTCACTCTCATATTTCTGGACTCACTTTCCCTTCTTTATTCCCCCAGATTATTAATCTCCCTCTCTAATCTCGCACCAGCAGGCTGGATGAGTTGAGAACAACTGGATTGAGAGTTTGATTCCCCATTGTGCCTCCCAAGAGAGGAGCCTGCCTGTTTGTAAATCAAACTACGAAAATTGAAATGGGTGTGTGGTGTGTGTTTGTGTGTAATTGTTTGTAGCAATAACATCTGTGAGATAACTGTTTGGACAATAACCCAAAAGGATTCCTAAAAGACCCTTCTTTGCACTTTGAATCATCCTGGAAACAAACACTCATGGTTCTTTTTGTAGAAAAACGTCTCCTCTCCCTGCAGCTTTCGACAATGTGGAGAAGTATCCGCTTCTACACATCTCCATCAAAGGCTGTCTTCAATCAGGCAGGTTTATGTTATGTGCCATCCAGTGAGATCCAACTTACACAGTTTTAAAGGTAAATGAGATACCCCACCCACAGTTTCCATGGCTGAAAACCAGTCTCCCGGGTCCCAATCCTTCACTCTATCCATATTGTATCCTTGATCAACTGGAAAGGCCAGGCTTAAACATCTTAGATAGAACCACCATGTTCCTAGTAATGTTTCTGTTTACATGCAATGCAGGGGCAAAACCCACTGGCTATTGGAAAGCTTATGGCTCCCTAACTGAGCTCAGTATCACAGTCTACAACACTGCTTCTTAACCTTGGGTTACTCAGGAGTTTTGGACTGCAACTCCCAGAAGCCTTCACCACCAACTGTGCTGGCTGGGGTTTCTGGGAGTTGCAGTTCAAAAACATCCGAGTAACAAAGGTTAAGAACCACTGGTCTACAACATGCTCCTGTCCATGCCTACTCAGAGGTAAAGCTTGCAGTGGTTGTTGTGGGTTTTTCAGGCTGTTTGGCCGTGTTCTTAAGGTTTTTCTTCCTAATGTTTCACCAGTTTCTGTGGCTGGCATCTTCAGAGGACTGGAGTCAGAACTCTTTCTGTCTCCTTAAGAACACGGCCAAACAGCCTGAAAAACCCACAACAACCATCGGATCCCGGCAGTGAAAGCCTTCGAGAATACAGTACAAAGCTTACAGTATTTTTTGCCCAGGTAGGTGAGTACTGGTACTGTATTGCCACTTGGGGTAAGCCTCTTAAAATCTAGCCCTTCTACACACCCCTTTCTTCCCGCAGGAGACGGGAGGGGGGCAGGAGAGAGAAATAAAAGTGTCTCAGGAAATGTCCATGGACCCATCGTCCCAAGGAGTAGGAGGGTTATTTTAAGCACCCCCCGAAGCGTTTTATATTTGGAAATCCTTTCGGTGATGCGGATCTGTTGGTTGGCTGAAAGTTAACAACCCTGCGCTCCCACTCCTACCGCCCCTCCAGTTTCTATACAGAAGAAAGAAACTTTACATTAACTCAGACCAGGTTTCTCACATACATCATCGCCTTCGGGGTGGATAGCTACGATCCTCAAGCTACTTTCAACGGAATATTTAGCACATTTCTAATAAAGGCAATATCGGTTTTGGAGTCCTTCCTTTAGGTCTTCTCAACCGGCTCAAAGCCTGTTGCGCTGCTTTAATCGGTTCTCTCGCAGACAACCCCCCCCCCCTTGAGATGTTGCCGAAACTTTCGTTTTAAAGCAACTTTCCTTTCCTACGGAGAAAGTAAAAGAGATGTGAACCTGGAGAAAGAGGGAAAACACCTCTGAAATCTGAAATTACCCTAAAATATTCGCCTTCGCTTTTTTGAATGGCTCTTCCCCCCTTTTCTTAAACAATAAACAAACAAACAAAAATCCTGCCTACAATTTGTCCAAAAGAATGGCAAAGTATACGACATGACATAAGGTAAAGCCATCAACAGGAAGGTGTTTGGACCCACAACGCTTTCATCTCTTTTTTAAAAGACCGGCTTTCTAAAATCCGGAGTGGGAGGGAGACACTGCTCAGTTTGATCCAATCCTCCCCCAAATTACTCACATCAGATTAAAACAGAAAATAAAAATGAAAGGCAGAGTCCCTCCGGGAATGGAACCGAGAAACAAAATTGAGAAGACTCTTAAGCCGGTTTTTGTTTTAGTTTTTCTCATCAAAAACGGTTTTCGGCAAAAGCTGGATCGAAGGCAAAAAAACACAAACAAACAAAAAAGCCGCTCGTCCTCTCAATCTCCATGACTTTTTAGTAACATTTTGCCATAGATTTTCCGTCGTTTGTATTGGAAGACCGACGACAATAATAATTATAACAAAGAAAATTACGACAGCGACCCTTCCTGAAAATAAAAACCAGGATTTAGATACAGTATACAGTAAATTAAGGAAGGCCGACCTCAGGTATACAAATTTAT